TCATGAATCACTGTTTGTATAATATTGTAAATGGCTAGTAAATATATTAGGTCTGAAATACATGACGGAGTTAATGAGAGATTTCATACATCGTTATATTTATACCGACTTTAGGTTTGCAAGGTCAGACCTGGACAATGACAAAAGAGGTGAGGTTAGTTACGTATCCTTTACAGGACGTTGCAGAACCAACCCCAACAGCCCTTGGCTGTTGTGTGGTTTTTATAGGCAAATTTACGTCCAGTAGTTTACCATTGCTTTCTGGACAGTCGGCTTTCTTGATACCACTGTCGAAACCAACGCAAGGCACATGGCCCGCAGCTGGAATCGAACCCGGCATCCCGGCATTACTAAGTGTTCGCATCGACTTAGCCACAGAGCCGACACTGACAAAAGAACACGAAAGAAAACTAACCACTTGTGAGATGAGATGTTTAAAAATGGCTGTAAAAAAAACTAGAAGATATTGAGGGAGAAACGACGTGATCACAAGAATTGCTAGAGCAACATCCATTGTCAATTTGTTTAGAAACAAAGGAATGAAACCAACGATGCCAGCAGCAAGGGCGTACAACCTGAAAACCGAAACACCAAGAAGCAGGGGAAGACCGAGAAGAAAGTGAATTGACGGAGTCACTGACACACTGAGACTGCATAACATCATGGCGTATCAATCGACTGAGCGCGCCCTGGCTCGGCTTCCGATCGTCTGATGAACCGCGACGCCTAGCGGCATAAACAGGTTTTGACAAAAGAAGAAGATATACATCGCTTATATGGCCACTTCGTCCCCTTTCGAATTTGGGGCAAGGCAAGAGCCTCCCCCCCCCCCCACTTTCCTCCCCCCCCCCCCCCGGGTTATGAACCTATAAGACCATCAAAACATGACTAGCATGCAAATACAGTGGAGCAGTAAGTATTATCAGCTTGTGAGAAAGTTCCCCGTGACATTACCGTATGCCACCAAGAGGAAAAAAGGTTCATGTCGACCCGATCTGCAACAGACAACATTATCCTTTCTAAATGCAATTCAATTTTCCCACTCTTTTGAAACAACTATTCAGTAACAATTGAAAAATGTGGACTTTGATTCGGCGTATAATCTTTCAAAGTGCCACAGATTTAACGAAACAATACAAGCAATTTCTTCGTATCCATGACATCGTTAAAATGATAACAAAAGAAGCATAGGGAACAGAAATAGCCACGTAATAAAATACCTATAATCGCACGTATATAGAACAACTTCAGACGGTTTGTTGTGCCGAGAAAGGAACTTAAATCTTTTGTTATTCAAAGAAAAGAATGAGAAATGGCGGCCATAGCTTTTCACCATGTGTGAATTGAATATGTTCACAAAATTGGGGGAAGAGTAGACTGCGTAATAGAGAACAGGTTTAAACCCCCCCCCCCTCCCCCTCACCCCACCCACCCCCCTCCCTCTTTGTTCTCCCTTTTTCCCCCATTTGATCCGGTCGAAGTTTGAAAACCTGGAGCAAATAGGTCACTGTCGGCCATTTTGAGATTCTGCAGAAATAATGTTTGAATTTGCGCGCATGAAAATGTGTGGAGAAGGGAAGGTGAGAGTCTGCAAATGTAAGAATGGGACGTCTCGTCTAGCTACACTAGCGTATTATATATTCAGGGCAACAAAAGATTCCAATCTTTACATTAAAAGTTAGTTGCATATCCTTTACAGGACGTTGCCGAGACATCCCCAGCATTTTTTTTTCTCCTGGGAAAAAAAAAAGGGGGGGGGTGTTGTGATTTTTTTCCGGCATTTTAAAAGTTCAGTAGTTTATCATTGCCATTGAACGGTCAGCTCTTGGTACCACTGTCGAAACCGAAGAAAAACAAATCGTCCGCAGCTGAAATCGAACCTGGCACCCCGGTATTACGAATCTTTACCTTTAGCTGACAGAATTATTAATTCTGATCCCTGAGCACCGTTCCCGAGGAATGGGCTAACATCTGCATATCCAAGTTCACAGGTCGGATGTGTGTAGTTTGTTTGCTGATCAAAACTGCGATTTATTTTTATCATTTCTGACATTTCTCATCGCACTCTCTGCACAAACGATGAACGGGTACCGATAAGGTATACAACACTATCTTGCACTGTTTTGCACCATAAATGTTTGATGTTTCAACAGTTACTCAGACAGCTACTTTTTGTTCCAGGTGCAAGGTTGTCTTTCAGGCAAATCAAATGTGCAGGAAACAGTTGATTTCTTTTATCGCTCACCAACTACTGACTGAAATCGTGAGCTGCAGATTCTTTTGCTTAAAGTACAAATCGTTGAAATTAGAGCAATCACATGCCAGATGTGTTGCATCTGCGACGCTTGATGTCCAGCAAAAGTTACAACCAACAAAGAGTAAAGTGGAAATCTCAGAGATTTCTAATAACTACGCTCCTAGGCCTCTTGAGCCTTTTTGTAAGAGGACAAAATACGTTCCCATCACCCCTCCTTCTCCACCCCACCCCTCCCCTCCCCCAACTCCCCTCTCCCTACCAGTCTGTAGGAGCGTTGTTCTTTTTACGCCTAAATCACTAGTCGAGGTTCCACCCTCACTGTAGACCGTAAACTGCTCCAAGACTGTGCTGGTAACAATCACACAAAATGGCCGTCACTTTCTCATTTAATTTCTAGTTTAAAACGTATCACTTTAACTATAATGAAATAAGAAAGTAAATGTGTACAGCAGCTGTATGATGTTCCAACACTAACAGTCTCACGCTAGAATAGTAACAGAAATCAGTATGGCAGGAAAGAGGAGAAATCGCTGACCACCACAAGTATTGGCACCGGATAGTTGTGACAGCTTGGGTGGCAAGATGCAAGAGGTGGGAGATCCGGCCAGAGACCCAGTTTCTTTCAGGAGGGCTTTAGTAAGTGCGACGTTCTGCAAAGAACATGTTACATGCTGATGATGGTAAATGTCAATATCTTTTTTTTATAGGTTAACTCAAGGTACAAGAGTGGTGACGTTTAAAAACCAATTCAAAATCTGATGTCTGAATCACACAGCAGAGAAAATCAACCACCTTAAACCACAAAAACCCGGAAAAAACCAAACATATTTAAACAAGGGATATCAACGTGACATTTCTTTTTACCTAACATGTGAACGTGGTTACTTCCCTTAATAAGCCGAGATTGGGGTGGGGGTGGGGGTTAGGTTTTAGAAAACCGGATAAAATGGTTTGGCTATGTGAGAAGATTAATAAGCAGCCGACGGGGCACCACAGAAAGCAATACTATACAGGTGCAGGGGTAACAGAACCATACGTCGCGCATGCAGAAGATAACCCGTAGACATAAATATCTAAGACAGTGACAGAGGACTTTATATAAAGCAAGCAGAAGTGCCCACTCATGAGATCTCTTCCTTCCTTGACGCAGCGATGCATTCTAGGAATAGACGAAAGAAGGAGAAAACAACCCGTCCTAACTGCTAGCTATGATACTGTAGTAGGTGGACGCTCGGGTCAGCTACGGAGGTCGTGGATTCGAATACTTGGTTGACGGATATGTAAGAATATTGACTTTAGCTCCCAGGCGAACCCAGTCTAATATCCTTATCAGGGAATGTTCTGGTAAACAAAGGTGAGGAGCCACAGTACCAGTCGTGTGCCAGTTAATTATAAAAAAAGTATATAAGTCTAGTACTGTATGTCTGATTCAGTACTAGCATGTAATCAACCCACTTAGAAAAGACGTACACAAACTCAACCGAACGTTTTGTTGTAGATGTTTGCCTCTTTTTTCATTTCCTCCGTTGAACTTTCTGGTTACCTTCTGTGTTATATTAAGCATTACCTTCAGTCAGCTCGACTGCAGTCACCCCCATCCCGACGTCTCTCTCTTGTTGTTGTATAACCCATTTTGTCCCAGCTGTTACTTTAGCTTTATTTGAGCCCACCAAGGCTCATCGGAACATAATTTTGGACACGATTTATAAAGTATGTTGACACGGGTAGGATCTGCTTAGAAGAAGCCCGTGTGGCGCAGGGGCTAGCAGGTTCGTTTCTGAAACAACAATCTGGTTCTAGACGGCTCGGCGGTCTTGTTATATCTTCATGACAGTCATGCTGTGGAGCCGGTATACGTCACACAGAGCTGGCAACCTAGGTCCGTTTATATCTCATTGTATTCCATGCAACGATAATAGATCCACTGCCGGCTTTCTAGGCCAGTCGTACATTCAGAGACAAGTTGGCCAGGACGTTTAGGGGTCACCGAGGTTGGCACTTCATGGCTTTCGAAGCTGTCCCGTGACACAAGGTCACACATCATATTTTATTTTGTTGTTGTTAGATCACTTCTTCTTCTTCTTCTTCTTCTTCTTCTTCTTCTTCTTCTTCTTCTTCTTCTTCTTCTTCTTCTTCTTCTTCAGCATTCCGAGCCCTTAAAGTTTATTGCTGCAGATATCACCCGCCTCCATTCATCTCTTTGGTTGGCCTTCTCTTTCCAGTTGGTGACACCAAGTGTCTGGACATTATCTCTCCATGCTCTACTTGGTCTGCCTCGTGGTCTATGACTATTCATCTCCCTTGTGTTTAGAGTTGTTACTTCTCTGTCATCTTACATTCTTTCAATATGGCCTAGCCGTAGAAGTTAGATCAAAGAAATTATAATCCTTTAATGTCCCCAAATACCCGACAAACAACAACGTAGCTCTACTGTGCCATTATACCACACACACACGCGCGCGCTCGTGCGCGAGAGCAAACACATCCACATACATGCATGCACATACATGCACACATATGTACGTGTGCACACACACACACAACGCTTTGCATAATACTGTCATCAGTAATCTAAAAACAGTGGTAAGATGCGTTGCTCTGAAATGGAACATCTCATCAGCATTATTAGATTAGTAGCGATGCAGCTTTGAAACAGACACCTTGTCAGCAACGGTAGATGAGAGACAGACACCTCATCAGCAACGGTAGATGAGGCACGGGTAGATCAGTATACGAGGCAAAGTCAGCAGGGATGAAGGGCTGAAGTCGATGATGTAGACATGTTAGATAACTCCCTGGCAGGTTCTGGAGGCCGTGCAGGTAAAGGGAAGTAACCTGAGTTATCATACACACCACAGTCGCTGACAACATCGTCAAGGGTTATCTCCGATTTCTGGACGGAAGTATCTGCGATTTTGTCTCCCCTGGCAGCCAACCTAATTTGGATGAAAACGATACATTCGTTCATTAGATGTTTGCTATTTATAAACGGGCACTTTTAAATCTTGTGTCAACATCGACGACCGGCTCGCAGGTAGACGACTTCTTCGCCATTGTGGATACTATTTGGGACTGTCCCCTGTGATCGCATTAATATTGCAAGAGCCCTTTCCAGGACTACTCTTTGACAAGCAACGGTTAATAGCGTATCCTTTACAGGATAAGAACCAACCCCAGCAGCCCCCTGGCTGTTTTGTAGTTTTTCTAGGCAAATTTACGTCCAGTAGTTTGCCATTGCCCTCTGGATGGTCGGCTTTCTTGATACCACTGTCAACACCAACGCAAGGCGCATGGCCCGCAGCTGGGATCGAACCCGGCATCCCAGCATTACCAAGCGTTCGCATCGACTTAGCCACAGAACGGACTTGACAAGCAATGCTAAGCTATATTATTCGGTGCACATAACCTAGTCACAATTATAACCTAAAGCTCCTCTTTAGGGGATGCTGGCTGAAAGTCACGATTTTTTTTAAACCGCAATGCAAATCACGTCAAAATCTCGTGTGCATGAACTGCCGAAAACGGCATCAGTCCTCGCAAGACAACAAGCGTTATAGAAATCCAACACATTTCATTAGCCATTACCTTCATAGGACTGTAGATGCCACCTGGTTCATGTCGTCATTACAGCTGCCCGAGTTAGAACTTCTTCAGAGGATAAACCGGGTATCTGGGATCCAACATTTTGTTGGTCTACCGTCCGGATTAAGATTTTTAAATATAACGATTGCATGATGGAAGTCGCCGTGGCTGAGCGGCTAGACGCTCGCTTGTGGATCGGAAGGTCGTGGGTTCGCTCCCGGGCGGAGCCAGACTTTTTTCAAAAATGATCTTGGCTCGCAAGTCGACCCAGTCTTGTGTGGATACCGGGTGCAGTCCCGGGAAGTAAAGGCGGCCGGCGTGATGCTGACCACATTTTACCCATCTTATGCCGGGTGGTCTATAAAATATAGTTCTAACCCTATACGCCAAAAGGCGTGGAAAAGAGTCCTTTACTTTACTTTTAGGATTGTATTATGAATCTGTAGGTAGCACCATGGGGAAACGGGGAAGAGGTGGGAGAGAAACTGATTGATCGACCGAATACTTTATTTGATAAAACTAGCCATACTGGACTACCCGTTACTTCGTAGTTGTTTTGTGGTGTCCATACCGTATGGCGTTGGTAGTCATGTCTATCGACAACCTTCTGTCTCGTGTACTTTTACTTAACTCTGATACTGATTATCCTCCATGCCATGATGTCAAACAAAAGTCGCCCACACTGGACCACAGTACAAAAAAAAGGGAAAGGACCCTTTTCCACGCCTTTAGGTGTATAGGGCATATAGGGCTAGACCTATATTTTATAGACTAATCGGCACAAGATGGGTGATGTGGTCAGCATCACACAGGCCGCTTTTACTTCCGGGAACTGTACCCGGTGCTCACTCAAGGCTGGGTTGACCTGAGAGCCAAGGTCATTTTGTAAAGAAGTCCGGCTCCGCCAGGGAGCGAAGCCACGACCTTCCGATCCGCGGCGAGCGTACTGGACCACAGGTTACTACGTAGTTGTTTTGTAATGTCCACGCCATGTGGCGATGGTAGTCATGTATATCCACAGACTTCTGTCTCGTCTACTTTTAATCAACTCTGACACAGATGGTCTTCCATAGTATATGCCGTGTGGCGATGGTAGTCATGTATATCCACAGCCTTCTGTCTCGTGTACTTTTAATCAACTCTGACACAGATAATCTTCCATAGTATATACCGTGTGGCGATGGTAGTCATGTCTATCCACAGCCTTCTGTCTCGTGTACTTTTAATCAACTCTGACACAGATGATCTTCCATAGTCCATGCCGTGTGGCGTTGGTAGTCATGTCTATCGACAACCTTCTGTCTCGTGTACTTTTAATCAACTCTGACACAGATAATCTTCCATAGTATATGCCATGTGGCGATAGTAGTCATGTCTATCGACAACCTTCTGTCCCGTGTACTTTCAATCAACTTTGATACAGATTATCCTTCACGACATGATGTTAGTTTTATAGTTTGTGTGATATAGCTAGGAATCTTCCACAAAGATCCGATTCCTGCCAGGTTCAGATGTTGAGGTGTGTGTTTCACAGCCGAATATACAGTTACTGTTATTAAGTGAACTGTCAAACTGTGAAACGAATTGTTCAGCATCTTTGCTCTCGGTCTCCCTCTGCCTCTCTTTCCTTCCAACTTTCCTACCGTCACGATGTACTCCAGTTTTCTCTTTCTCATCCCATGACCAAAGAATATAAATTGTCTCTATTTGATGCGGACAATCAGTTCTCTGTGTGAGTCGATTTCTTCAAAGACCTCTTCACAACACTTTTTATCTGTCCAGGGTATTCTCAACATTCCTCTACAAATCTACATGTCCGCAGCTTCCAAATATTATTTCATTAATCTACTTATTTAAATATGTTTCTGCTTATCTACATACCTCGCTACCTATCTACATACGTCCCTGCCTATCTACATACGTCCCTGCCTATCTACATACGTCCCTGCCTATCTACATACGTCCCTGCCTATCTACATACATCCATGCCTATCTATAAACGTCCCTACCTATCTAAATACGTCCCTACCTATCTACATACATCCATGCCTATCTACATACGCCCCTACCTATCTACATACGTCCCTGCCTATCTACATACGTCCCTGCCTATCTACATACGTCCCTGTCTATCTATAAACGTCCCTACCTATCTAAATACGTCCCTACCTATCTACATACATCCATGCCTATCTACATACGCCCCTACCTACCTACATACGTCACTGCCTATCTACGTACGTCCCTACCTAACTACATACGTCCCTGCCAATCTACATACGCCCCTACCTACCTACATACGTCCCTGCCTATCTACGTACATCCCTGCCTATCTACATACGTCCCTGCCTATCTACATACATCCATGCCTATCTACATACGCCCCTACCTATCTGCATACGTCCCTGCCTATCTACGTACGTCCCTGTCTAACTACATACGTCCCTGCCAATCTACATACGTCCCTGCCTATCTACATACGTCCCTGAGTATCTACGTACGTCCCTGCCTATCTACATACGTCCCTGCCAATCTACGTACGTCCCTGCCTATCTACATACGTCCTTGCCAATCTACATACGTCCCTACCTATCCACATACGTCCCTACCTATCTACATACGTCCCTACCTATCTACATACGTCCATACCTATCTACACATGTCTCTGTCTATCCACATATGTCCCTACCTATCTACATACGTCCTTGCCAATCTACATACGTCCCTGCCTATCTACATACGTCCCTGTCTATCTACATACGTCCCTGTCTATCTATAAACGTCCCTACCTATCTAAATACGTCCATACCTATCTACACACGTCTCTGTCTATCCACATACGTCCCTACCTATCTCTCCTTCTGGCACTCCTGTCTTTGGTAGTAAGGGAAAACACCAGCCTGTCCCTAAACAAGGTGTCGTCCACTTCCAGGTAGGTGAAAGTCTTACAGCAGCGGCTGATCAAAGGATCCATCTCCTCTTTGGGCACCTGTGGACAGGGATCAGAAGGTAAAAATAACAAACTAGATGGTACAGTATGGAACAGTAGTACAAACTCCATGACAAAACAAGTATTGCGAGACACAAACATTTTAGGTTTCCAAAGAAGAAGAATACACCCGGCTGGTGTTATTAGTCGCCACTCGCTGGAGAAGACACTGAAAATGGTATCAGAGCACTTATGAACTTATGCTTTCTGCGAGGAGGATGATCAGAGCCTCAACTGGCCTGACAAATATGTGATTCCTCTCGGAGACACGTCAGCTAAGTGATTTGTGTATTCTTGTTCGTCTTTGCGGTATTTTTAAAGTATCATTAAATGTGCTGATGAGGGCTCTCTAGCCACAACAATCACTTAAAGTTTGTGTCTGTTATAATGTGAAGCTGACTGGTTCCACTTTTCGTTTGGTTTAATGTCTTGTCATCATTAACTAAGCGTAGTCAGAGTTTCAAAGAATGGGTCGTGGAGGAAGTAGCTCACGTGTGTGGTTCAAGTAACTGACACTCACCCCAAAAGAACTGCATGACGAGCGATAAACACGCGGTGACACAAAGTGCCACCGTTCGGATGAGAATCATCCGGACGCAAGTCCAAGAAACACTGTTCAGGGACACCAACATAACTATATCTGGCTCACTCGAGGAACACCAACGTAACTGTTTCTGACTAACTCCAGGGATACCAACATAATTGAAGAACACCAGCATAACTGTATGCGACTCACTAGAGGGAAACCAACATAACTGTATGTGACTCACTCGAGGGAAACCAACATAACTGTATGTGACTCACTAGAGGGAAACCAACATAACTGTATGTGACTCACTAGAGGGAAACCAACATAACTGTATGTGACTCCCTCGTGGGAAACCAACATAACTGTATGTGACTCACTCGTGGGAAACCAACATAACTGTATGTGACTCACTCGTGGGAAACCAACATAACTGTATGTGACTCACTAGAGGGAAACCAACATAACTGTATGTGACTCCCTCGTGGGAAACCAACATAACTGTATGTGACTCACTAGAGGGAAACCAACATAACTGTATGTGACTCACTCCAGGGAAACCAACATAAATGTATGTGACTCACTCCAGGGAAACCAACATAAATGCATGTGACTCACTCGAGGGAAACCAACATAACTGTATGTGACTCACTCCAGGGGAAAAAAACATAACTGTATGTGACTCACTCTAGGGACACTAACATAACTGTATGTGACTCGCTCCAGGGGAAAAAACATAACTGTATGTGACTCACTCTAGGCACACTAACATAACTGTATGTGACTCACTCCAGGGAAACCAACATAACTGTATGTGACTCACTAGAGGGAAACCAACATAACTGTATGTGACTCCCTCGTGGAAAACCAACATAACTGTATGTGACTCACTCCAGGGAAACCAACATAACTGTATGTGACTCACTCGAGGGAAACCAACATAACTGTAAGTGACTCACTCCAGGGGAAAAAACATAACTGTATGTGACTCACTCTAGGGACACTAACATAACTGTATGTGACTCACTCCAGGGAAACCAACATAACTGTATGTGACTCACTCCAGGGAAACCAACATAACTGTATGTGACTCACTCTAGGGACACTAACATAACTGTATGTGACTCACTCCAGGGAAACCAACATAACTGTATGTGACTCACTACAGGGACACCAACATAACTGTATGTAACTCACTTCAGGGACACTAACATAACTGTATGTGACTCACTCTAGGGACACTAACATAACTGTATGTGACTCACTCTAGGGACACTAACATAACTGTATGTGACTCACTCTAGGGACACTAACATAACTGTATGTGACTCACTCTAGGGACACTAACATAACTGTATGTGACTCACTCTAGGGACACTAACAAAACTGTATGTGACTCACTCTAGGGACACTAACATAACTGTATGTGACTCACTCTAGGGACACCAACATAACTGTATGTGACTCACTCTAGGGACACTAACATAACTGTATGTGACTCACTCTAGGGACAACATAACTGTATGTGACTCACTCTAGGGACATAACTGTATGTGACTCACTCTAGGGACACTAACATAACTGTATGTGACTCACTCTAGGGACACTAACATAACTGTATGTGACTCACTCTAGGGACACTAACATAACTGTATGTAACTCACTCTAGGGACACTAACATAACTGTATGTGACTCACTCTAGGGACACTAACATAACTGTATGTGACTCACTCTAGGGACACTAACATAACTGTATGTGACTCACTCTAGGGACACTAACATAACTGTATGTGACTCACTCTAGGGACACTAACATAACTGTATGTGACTCACTCTAGGGACACTAACATAACTGTATGTGACTCACTCTACTCAACATCAGGTGACACTCTAGGGACACTAACATAACTGTATGTGACTCACTCTAGGGACACTAACATAACTGTATGTGACTCACTCTAGGGACACTAACATAACTGTATGTGACTCACTCTAGGGACACTAACATAACTGTATGTGACTCACTCTAGGGACACTAACATAACTGTATGTGACTCACTCTAGGGACACTAACATAACTGTATGTGACTCACTCTAGGGACACTAACATAACTGTATGTGACTCACTCTAGGGACACTAACATAACTGTATGTGACTCACTCTAGGGACACTAACATAACTGTATGTGACTCACTTCAGGGACACTAACATAACTGTATGTGACTCACTCTAGGGACACTAACATAACTGTATGTGACTCACTCTAGGGACACTAACATAACTGTATGTGACTCACTCTAGGGACACTAACATAACTGTATGTGACTCACTCTAGGGACAATAACATAACTGTACTCACTCTAGGGACACACTCTAGGGACTCACTCTAACACTAACATAACTGTATGTGACTCACTCTAGGGACACTAACATAACTGTATGTGACTCACTCTAGGGACACTAACATAACTGTATGTGACTCACTCTAGGGACACTAACATACATGTAACTCACTCTAGGGACACTAACATAACTGTATGTGACTCACTCTAGGGACACTAACATAACTGTATGTGACTCACTCTAGGGACACTAACATAACTGTATGTGACTCACTCTAGGGACACTAACATAACTGTATGTGACTCACTCTAGGGACACTAACAACACTCTAGGGACACTGTATGTGACTCACTCTAGGGACACTAACATAACTGTATGTGACTCACTCTAGGGACACTAACATAACTGTATGTGACTCACTCTAGGGACACTAACATAACTGTATGTGACTCACTGTAACCTGTATGTGACTCACTCTAGGGACACTAACATAACTGTATGTGACTCACTCTAGGGACACTAACATAACTGTATGTGACTCACTCTAGGGACACTAACATAACTGTATGTGACTCACTCTAGGGACACTAACATAACTGTATGTGACTCACTCTCACTAACTGTAGGGACACTAACATAACTGTATGTGACTCACTCTAGGGACACTAACATAACTGTATGTGACTCACTCTAGGGACACTAACAAAACTGTATGTGACTCACTCTAGGGACACTAACATAACTGTATGTGACTCACTCTAGGGACACTAACATAACTGTATGTGACTCACTCTAGGGACACTAACATAACTGTATGTGACTCACTCTAGGGACACTAACATAACTGTATGTGACTCACTCTAGGGACACTAACATAAACTCTAGGGACACTAACAATAACTATGTGACACTAACAAAACTGTATGTGACTCACTCTAGGGACACTAACATAACTGTATGTGACTCACTCTAGGGACACCAACATAACTGTATGTGACTCACTCTAGGGACACTAACATAACTGTATGTGACTCACTCTAGGGACACTAACATAACTGTATGTGACTCACTCTAGGGACACTAACATAACTGTATGTAACTCACTTCAGGGACACTAACATAACTGTATGTAACTCACTTCAGGGACACTAACATAACTGTATGTAACTCACTTCAGGCACACTAACATAACTGTATGTAACTCACTTCAGGGACACTAACATAACTGTATGTAACTCACTTCAGGGACACTAACATAACTGTATGTAACTCACTTCAGGGACACTAACATAACTGCATGTAACTCACTTTAGGGACACTAACATAACTATATCTAACTCACTAGGGGGAAATCAACATTACTCTATCTGACTCACTCGCGGGAAACCAACACAACTCTAACTGACTCACTCGGGGGAAATCAACTTACCTGTATCTAACTCACTTCAGGGACACCAACATACCTGTATCTAACTTACTCCAAGGACATCAACATACCTGTATCTAACTTACTCCAAGGACATCAACATACCTGTATCTAACTTACTCCAAGGACATCAACATACCTGTATCTAACTTACTCCAAGGACATCAACATACCTGTATCTAACTTACTCCAAGGACATCAACATACCTGTATCTAACTTACTCCAAGGACATCAACATACCTGTATCTAACTTACTCCAAGGACATCAACATACCTGTATCTAACTTACTCCAAGGACATCAACATACCTGTATCTAACTTACTCCAAGGACATCAACATACCTGTATCTAACTTACTCCAAGGACATCAACATACCTGTATCTAACTTACTCCAAGGGCATCAACATACCTGTATCTAACTTACTCCAAGGACATCAACATACCTGTATCTAACTTACTCCAAGGACATCAACATACCTGTATCTAACTTACTCCAAGGACATCAACATACCTGTATCTAACTTACTCCAAGGACATCAACATACCTGTATCTAACTTACTCCAAGGACATCAACATACCTGTATCTAACTCACTCCAAGGACACCAACATACCTGTATCTAACTCACTCCAAGGACATCAACATACCTGTATCTAACTCACTCCAAGGACACCAACATACCTGTATCTAACTCACCTTCTCCAGCAGAATAACAATGAGATGCCGTGTCTTCTCCACCAGACTCTGTCGGTAGGCCTGCCGTAGCTCCTCCATGGCCCAGTGACTCCTCATAAAACTGGGGGACAACACGATGATCGTGTGCCGGCTAGCCTCGATACAGTCTACGATGTTGTCGAAGATCGACTTGCCAAGAATGAAATCCCTCTGGTGGACACACAGCTTGAAGCTCTGCTGACTGTTTCCAGTGTGTTTGCTTTTCTTTAGATCGACTCCACTAGTTGAAGTATCGTTTGGGGGTTTTTCTAGAAATTTGATAAGATTCTCGCAGACCCAATCAGAATCGTCGTTGCTATAGGAAATAAAAGCGTCGAATTGCTTGCTACTTTCTTGAGAATCGATATCACATGGGAGTCGCACATGAAGACGAGTATATAACAGGATTCGAATTTCAATTTTGAATCTGATGATAACAATAATGAGAGTAATAAGAATCGCCATAACAATAGCCAGTACGATAACGACATTTTTGTTAGAGGTCAGCACTGGACAACTCAGGGAATCTGCCGTCAATGTATGGAGTTGATGTCCAGCCAGAGCTTCAGGGGTGGCGCAGTAGAGGTGCCGCACGTACTCGTATGGAGCAAGTTTGTCCCTAAAGGTGGAATTGTTTTCTAAGAAAGGTAACAGACTCGCCATCTCACACCCACAGTGTATAGGGTTGTCGCGAATATCCAGAAAAAAGTTCTCCACATCCGCCCATGAATTCAACAAGTCCATGTTAATCATTGTAATGTTGTTATGCCGTAAGTTGAATTTGACCACGAAGTCGTTGGAGATGGAGGGATAGTGGGGGATCTTGACCTCGGAAATGTAGTTATGGGAAAGGTCAAGATTCCTCAGCTTCGGGAAATATATCCGCCATTCTGCCAACTGTTTGGGCATGTCCTTCAACCCGAGGTAGGAATAGTTCATGTTTTCAAGGACGGGGTATTCAGACCCCTGAACCATTACCACAAAATGATGCACGGAGGTCAAAGGTGATATGCTTTCGTCAATCAATTTCAGTTTTTTGAAGCTACACTTTGTTCGAGTGTTCATCATTTTGATGAGGAATTTGATGTTCTCAAGCTGCGCTTCTTTTATGCTGGCTTCTGAATTTGATTCTCCTTTTGATGATTGTGTACTATCAGATTCAGTAGCATTATTTGTTTGTTCTCCGACTACCTTCGTGATGTCTTTAATCAACCTGTCCTCAGGTTTAACCAGCCGGTTTGAGGTCGCACCGGCGAAGTTTTCCGGAAGTTTCATGTTGAGGTTAGTAAAACCACCAAGTTCTGCTCCAGTCAAGTTGGTCACGTCAATATTCTTATCAAGATTTCTAATGATAACTGAATTGTTACTCGTGATCATCGATTGCAGTGTTGAATCTTGACCGCAATCAAAGTGACTAGTTAAGTTAACTCCTTCATCAGAATCTCTGACCACCGTATTGGTCAAATTTCTAACCCAGATTGAGTGACGGATTTCTAAAACTGTCATCTCATTGGGCATCGTCGCATCAATCGCGTCGTACATATTTGCATATCTATCAAGAACGTAACAATAAAAGACATGGAGCTCCACCAGTCCAAGAACTCTCATTGGCCAAGGCAGAGAAATATTGGCTCCGTTTGCACATGTTACCGTAATATTGTAGATGACAGTTCTGTTTGAGGGCGTGGTCTGATAGTTGATTTTGTTGTTTATTGTCCAATCACGGAGATCGTTTAGCTTCCATTGATATAGTTGAGCTTGTCCAATATAACATTTTATATCAACAAGCACGGTGGATTCATACACGGATGTTACAGAAGAGAGTGTGGTTAAGGGAGTTACAGTGTCATGACAAGCTCCGCCCCAAGATGGTGGAGTATATGAGGAAGATGATACCAACTGATGACAGAAACTTGCGGCTATGAACATCAACAACATGTTGATTGGTTACGTAAATTTCTATTTTGACGTATAAGAGATCAGAACAAATAAGGCGACCAATCAGGTCTGTTCCTTACATAGTTATAATGTACATTAAAAAAAACATCACGGTTTTTATGGATATCTGATGGTAGTTTTGTAACTATAACAGATTTTAAACTGTCATGTTGTTGACAATGATTTCTTTTCAAGTTAGTGCTCTTCGATTATTTCTGTTGGTTTCTGTGTGTGACAGACGTGGCGATATGTGCTTTACTGTATTCTTTCGTCACATATATTGAAACACCTATTTGATAAGGAAATTGTGTGTTCAGGTGTGTAAAAGACTTTCTATACACAATACTTTGCTGAAAGTTCGGGTATGCAACAGATTTTCCATGTATGATATACTGGTGCTAGTTCAGGTGTGTGAAAGACTTTCTATATACAATACTCTGTTGAAAATTCAGGTAAGCAACAGCTTTTCTATATAGGATATTCTGGTGCTAGTTCAGCCATGTGAAAGATGTTTTATATATGATACTCTGCTGCTAGGTGAGGTGGGTAAAAGATATTATTAAAACATTACTGCTAGTTCCAGCATGTGACAGATTTTATATATATTTTACGGCCACTAGTTCTCATTTGTTAAAGTCGTTTTGTAGATGACCCCAAATTTTCATGTTCTGGTTTGTGAAAGACCGGACTTATGAGACATCGCGCTGTCATCTCAAATGTGTGGAAGAATGGAGTATAGTCGATACTTTCGAAGTTATTCATGTGTACGTCCACATTGTCTAGTGTCGATAATGGTTGAAGACTGTGCACTGCTCGAATCTCACAGTACACTTGATAACTGGAGACATTTGATGTGAAGATATCAAATCCACTGAGCCACCAACAAAACTGTTTATGCTCGGTAGTGTGGGCTCGATTACTCAATGCAAGCTCTATTCTCTAGTGCAAGCTCTATTCTTCAGCGCAAACTCTTTTTTCCAACCCACGTTCTATTCTCCAATCAAAGCTCTATTCTCCAATCAAAGCTCTATTCTACAGTGCAAGCTCTATTCTGCAATCCAAGCTCTATTCTACAGTCCAAGCTCTATTCTACAGTCCAAGCTCTATTCTACAGTCCAAGCTCTATTCTACAGTCCAAGCTCTATTCTACAGTCCAAGCTCTATTCTACAATCAAAGCTCTATTCTACAGTGCAAGCTCTATTCTGCAATCCAAGCTCTATTCTACAGTCCAAGCTCTATTCTCCAATCAAAGCTCTATTCTGCAGTGCAAGCTCTATTCTGCAATCCAAGCTCTATTCTGCAATCCAAGCTCTATTCTACAATCAAAGCTCTATTCTACAGTCCAAGCTCTATTCTACAGTCCAAGCTCTATTCTCCAATCAAAGCTCTATTCTACAGTCCAAGCTCTATTCTCCAATCAAAGCTCTATTCTACAGTCCAAGCTCTATTCTCCAATCAAAGCTCTATTCTACAGTCCAAGCTCTATTCTCCAATCAAAGCTCTATTCTACAGTCCAAGCTCTATTCTCCAATCAAAGCTCTATTCTACAGTCCAAGCTCTATTCTCCAATCAAAGCTCTATTCTACAGTCCAAGCTCTATTCTCCAATCAAAGCTCTATTCTACAGTCCAAGCTCTATTCTACAGTCCAAGCTCTATTCTACAGTCCAAGCTCTATTCTCCAATCAAAGCTCTATTCTGCAATCCAAGCTCTATTCTACAGTCCAAGCTCTATTCTACACCGCAAGTTCTATTCTACACCGCAAGTTCTATTCTACACCGCAAGTTCTATTCTACACCGCAAGTTCTATTCTACACCGCAAGTTCTATTCTACACCGCAAGTTCTATTCTACACCGCAAGTTCTATTCTACAGTACAAGCTCTATTCTATAGTCCAAGCTCTGTTCTACAATCCAAGCTCTATTATATAGCGCAGGCTCTTTTTTTTTCCAATACAAGGTCTATTATCCAGTCCAAGCTCAAATCTCTAGTCCAAGCTCTATCCTTCAACCAAGCTCTGTTCTCCGGTTCTCTGGTGCAAGCTCTAAAGTCTATATCGCTCCAATAAATTCTTGTCCGTTCCATAAAAATTGACAGCCTTCTGCAAAACTACGTGTTCCCGAAAACAGCCAGAGGTTTCCAAGAATCGTCCAGGTATTGAGATCAACAATACTAATGAAGACGCCACTGATTGATTCTTTTAGTCAGACGTTTTTTAAGCAGACAGTCACCTGCGTTATATTTCTAACAGAGTCAATTATTTCCCCTGCCAAGAACCTCTGTTATCGATTCAGTCTCACACAAATGGTTATCGTTCAATTTTTTTGACTATATCATTAGAACTCGCTTAAGCGGAGGCCTCTAGCAGATAATTATACTGATAGAAGTCACAGTTCCTTTCTGCCATGAGACGATGAATGTTAAAATCTATGTACATAAGCGATGAATGAATGTGTTAACTCTGGGATGTATTGTGTCATTTGAAATAACTCACAAAATTGCCTCATATGTACCAGATTTAATTAAATCTGGCCCCAGTAGCTAAACATCAACGTACACAGAGCTGGTAAACTAACTACTTGTGTGTAAATCCATGTTTCCAAAACAGTCCTGATTACGTAAAGCATATTACGCGCTCTTATCTTATGAAGTGTTTAGGGCAAACCTCGGAGACTTGCTGATGACGTGCTGGTTCGTGAAAGCAACAAAGTGATAACTTGAACATATGAAACCGATCGCAAAGCAGAAGAAAAAGAACCTCTGGTGTTTCTACAAGTCACTTCTGGCAATATGTGTAGTAGTAACATGTGGTGGAGTAATCAGTTATAAAGTGATCTGAAGCGAATTACTCTGGCCAGACGTGACCCAAAATTACTCACGTAAGCGAGTTTGTAAAATAGGAGCTCTGGGCGCTAAAAGTGAAGAGCTCTTCCCTGCCGCATCTAAGCAGACGATAACTGGAATTCTGGTCCATCAACATACACAGTACTGCAAAATATCTACCCAGCATACGGCTCTGTGACAGCAAGATAAGGTGCTTACTTACAACATCTCGCCGTTCTAAACAGAAATTATTTCAAAACATAATCTTTTAACTCATTTACGCGAGTGCTTGAGATGAATGGCACAATTCTCTTCCTTTGCTCAGAAATATTTTTAACAAAATATGCCCCTGTGCGAAGTGGCGTCCATGCTGGCTGTTAAACTGAAATAGAAACAAAATTAAATATTACAGTATTAAATATGAGCAGAAATCTAGTTTGTCACATAAACAGTGAAATATCTGCATCATAAGTTCACACTAAAGGACACATTACAGACGTCACCTTATGACGCAGTAGTGTTATATTCACACAATAATCTCCGGGCCAGAGACATTAAGGACTCTTTGTTTTTGACAGCACATTAGCGAAGCCCATCAACGTGTGGCCTGTGTAAGTATGTGATGAGAGTCGAGCGGGCTACAACATGTCTTCGTTCTGAGAGCTTGGAATAACGGCTGTGTAGTTACATGGAAGGTTGTATGCTAGTGGTCAAGTCTCTTCTGGCACAGATAACACAGTTGTATGCTAGTGGTCAAGTCTCTTCTGGCACAGATAACACAAATGTATGCTAGTGGTCAAGTCTCTTCTAGCACAGATAACACAGTTGTATGCTAGTGGTCAAGTCTCTTCTGGTACAAATAAAATTGTTGTATGCTAGTGGTCAAGTCTCTTCTGGCACAGATAACACAGTTGTATGCTAGTGGTCAAGTCTCTTCTGGTACAAATAAAATTGTTGTATGCTAGTGGTCAAGTCTCTTCTGGCACAGATAACACAGTTGTATGCTAGTGGTCGAGTCTCTTCTGGTACAAATAAAATTGTTGTATGCTAGTGGTCAAGTCTCTTCTGGTACAAATAAAATTGTTGTATGCTAGTGATCAAGTCTCTTCTGGCACAGATAACACAGTTGTATGCTAGTGGTCAAGTCTCTTCTGGCACAGATAACACAGTTGTATGCTAGTGGTCAAGTCTCTTCTGGCACAGATAACACAGTTGTATGCTAGTGGTCAAGTCTCTTCTGGCACAGATAACACAGTTGTATGCTAGTGGTCAAGTCTCTTCTGGTACAAATAAAATTGTTGTATGCTAGTGGTCAAGTCTCTTCTGGCACAGATAACACAGTTGTATGCTAGTGGTCAAGTCTCTTCTGGTACAAATAAAATTGTTGTATGCTAGTGGTCAAGTCTCTTCTGGCACAGATAACACAGTTGTATGCTAGTGGTCGAGTCTCTTCTGGTACAAATAAAATTGTTGTATGCTAGTGGTCAAGTCTCTTCTGGTACAAATAAAATTGTTGTATGCTAGTGATCAAGTCTCTTCTGGCACAGATAACACAGTTGTATGCTAGTGGTCAAGTCTCTTCTGGCACAGATAACACAGTTGTATGCTAGTGGTCAAGTCTCTTCTGGTACAAATAAAATTGTTGTATGCTAGTGGTCAAGTCTCTTCTGGCACAGATAACACAGTTGTATGCTAGTGGTCAAGTCTCTTCTGGTACAAATAAAATTGTTGTATGCTAGTGGTCAAGTCTCTTCTGGCACAGATAACACAGTTGTATGCTAGTGGTCAAGTCTCTTCTGGTACAAATAAAATTGTTGTATGCTAGTGGTCAAGTCTCTTCTGGTACAAATAAAATTGTTGTATGCTAGTGGTCAAGTCTCTTCTGGCACAGATAGCACAGTTGTATGCTAGTGGTCAAGTCTCTTATGGTACAAATAAAATTGTTGTATGCTAGTGGTCAAGTCTTTTCTGGCACAGATAACATTGTTGTATGCTAGTGATCAAGTCTCTTATGGTACAAATAAAATTGTTGTATGCTAGTGATCAAGTCTCTTCTGGTACAAAGAAAATTGTTGTATGCTAGTGGACAAGTCTCTTCTGGTACAAATAAAATTGTTGTATGCTAGTGGTCAATTCTCTTCTGATACAAATAAGATTGCTGTATGTTAGTGATCAAG